AAAAAAAAAAAAAAGAAAATTTCGAATCACAAACACAATTTAGAAAATATTCCTTAAATCATCCATTGTCGAATTTCTTCCGACACTCCATAACAAATCAAGTGAATTCGAATTTCGTATTTAAATGCTAAAAAAGAAAAAAATAATATATTCTTTTCTATCAAGTTGTAGTAAGCATCCGTTACACCGTTCGATCGAATTTCTTCGCCACCCCGTAGAACGAGGTTGCGGCCAGCCGTTTTCTCCCACTGAAAGTTTATCTCTACACAGGCGAAAGGCAGATTGCGAATTACTAGGCTCCCAACTAAATGAATCTGTGGGATTGTCTCTCGATATTCGCGGATAACTGAGTTTCTTTGATTGCTTCTTAATTTATCCTTTATCCCCGGAAAAAAGGGGGAAGAACGATCGATCGAGAAACGAGCTTCGAAACGAGGGTAACGTTTGTTATATGGCTGTCGCCACTCGAGGAATAATTCGCGAATGCTGGTCATGGTGTGTTTTGCAATACGCGAGATGTATTCAGTGATGGATGGAGGATAGGAAGACAATGAGGGACGTTCATTGTTCTTAAATCTATATAGGACCATTTGTGCAAGGTATCTGTTAATCTCTTTATTTAGATAGAAAGAATCAACCTTTGAAATTATTGTTATTTGAAATTAATGTTTTTTTCTTCATTCCTGTGTGATTATATTGAGCTATTAATTGCAAAATATTAAAATATTGCAAATCGATGAAGATTTTTCGTAATACGATTTTCAATATTTATCATTGTGTAAACGATGATTCGATTTCATGAAAGAAAATTCTCAAGAAGATAGATTGATATTAATCACAGATCAATTTTCGAATTGGAAAATTATTATAAACGGCAAAGATGTAACAATTGCATCAATTACCGTATAAAAATAATTAACATCAGAGTGTTTTTTTCCCTTCTTCTCAATTTAACTTAGAAAGAATATTTTCGATCTCTCAATTAGGCGCGGCCTTTAAGAAGAGGTGGCAGGCAAGGTAAGAATGTAAGAGAGTCGAAAAGGGAAGTTGCGTAGATTATCGCAATATGGACGTACACGATCGTCGAACAATGAACAATGACTACTGAGAGCGAGTCATTAGTTGACTCGTGGGTCGGTTGGAAAAAGAATGTAACACGCTGCCTTTTTGCACGCGTGTTTCCGGCTGGAGAAAACGTAAGAGAACGAGACACTACTTGCACGCACGAAATCATTTTCTCCTTCGAATGACGATTTTTCTTTTCTTTTTTTTTTTTTATTTAAATTACGAAAGAATTGAGCAGAGATATTCTTCTGTATGCATTTTGAAATTTCTCTTTTAGTATATAGTTTTTATTGTTCGATCGAAGATTTGGAAATTTTTATCATTTTGAAATATTTAAAATGATCGAGATGCGTGAAATTCTTTTCATCGTCGAAATTACGAAGAATACGAGATTTGATTACGACGATAAAGGTTGAGATTTAATACGAAGTATTTTTGTTGCAAGAAAAGATTAAGTTCAAATATCATGAATAATTATCGATCGATCGTTAACCTTTAAACTTTCATTACGTATCTATTATTTAATATGCCTGATAGGAAGAAATGTTTTAAATTTAATGTCATACTTTCATACGTAAATACTTTCACGTTACAAAATATGTTACGATATCTTTTATGACTTATTTTTTAGGAGGGGAAAAAAAGTTTCCAAAACAATTTTATCACTTATCCACGAAATAATGTTAAAAGTATTCATGATGAAATTTTAAAGATATATATTAATGAGCAATAGATTCTTAATTCATAAAATTCTCAAATTTCTCAGTTGAACGAGGATGAATTAGTGAATAATATTTAATCGCTCCAAGTGGAAACATATCAGCCTTAGAGTTATTAGGCGACTATGAACTGTGAACTTTGGTATGTAACTTGGTCTATAACCGAGGTCAGCAAGTTAGTCTGCGTGTAATAAGTAATTGAAGATTAGCTTTACGGATCAATGGCCGTTGAGAAGAATAAATTGGGAATTCGATGAACTTACGTGAGAGTTTAACGAAGTTATTTCGCGAAACTGTTAATAAGCAATCACTTGTACCCATCGGCAATTTGTCTTATTTACGAGTTTTTCGACGATTCCTTACCTGGAACAAAAAAACACGTACGTATTGTTAATTAAAATTCACGAATATTAATAAAAAAATATTTTATTCCATCGATATTTTAACAATTAATTTATTTTAATTATAATTCTTTCCTTTCTTTTTAAAAAAATTTTAATTACACGCAATGAACGAACAACAATTTCAGTGGAGATATAAATTTTAATAAAGAGAAGAATTTCGTCGTAATAAAAATTACAATATTACGCAAGTTTAAACTTCATATATGCATTATTTCCTGCAACAACACGATTTACGTAAGAAATCCCCATTAAGTCTTTTCTCCATGCCAAAGATTAATCGTGATCATCTCTCCCAAACTACTTCCCCTTCCTCGCAGAGAGCAAAAACATACCATTACCATTAAACTAACCTATATATAAACACTCGTATCATTACGTGAAAAGATTGTTGGAAAAAAAGTTCTCTGAAAATTTACAATATGTTGATCAACGATACAAGAAATCAAATATCGATATTCGAAATTCGAAGGTCTCTACCAACTTTAAACCTTTCCTATCACGTCATCGCTGTAATAATTAACTTACGTAATTTATCGAGGAGACGATACCTTCTAAATAACAGACCGCCAAAGAATATAAAGAATCATCATCATCATCATCATCATCATCGACATTTAAAATATTCGCGCTTCGAATATTTGCTCTTCAAAAGAAACTCCTCACACACCATTCTAGACACGATATAGATAATAAACGAAAATAACAAAGTGACGAGAGATTTTTACATCGCAACTCGATTGAACGAAAATGGCGTTAATCTATCGTCTGTAAAAAGTAAGAACGCGCAATATTGCGCGTAAATCCGTCTAAATCTCTTGCATCACCGTCATCCAACATAATTCAAAAAAACGACACACTGGTATCCCCCCACGGATACAAAATATCACGTGACACGTACGTGCAAAAATAACACGTCGAATCGCGTAAGTGGTTCAGAGGCGGCAACAAGGAAACGTTGTTGGAACACGTGCCCCGAGGCTGGCTAAGGTGTTTGCGCGATTTTGCCTTGTCACGGGGAGGGATAAAGAGGGAGGAAACGTCGAATTTAAAAGGCTCTGGTGGAAGAGCGCGTGACTGCTCGGACGGCTATGGAGTTAACGTTATTTCGAGGAAACGGCGTCGCTCGCCGTTCACCGTTTTTATCGTCCTTTATAACGTATGTCTCGAGTTCAGGAAGCAGGAGGGTCACGTGCCGCTGATACAGGGCAGCCATTGAACTGGAAAGGAGTGAAACTGGGATGAGAAGACGGATCTGTCTTCCCATGATCTGTTACTTTGTTTCTGCATTTGTTTTTTCAATACAGAATACACCTTATTTTGGAACGAATTTTTTCGAAATATCTTTCGAAGGGAATTTTTGAAAGAGGATTTTTAATTGGAAATTAGATTGCTTATTTAATATTTTGAATCCGAGT